TCAAAGAAAATATATGCACAACCCATGGACACAGACAACAGTATAGTGATGACCAGAGAGAAGTGGGGGGCAAGAGCTGGGTAGAGGGGGCAAAAGGGGGGAAACAGGGACATCCTATATAATAAAAGGGTAATAATTGCAAACTGACCTAACAGCAGAAAGACTGGCAATGACTGGTCACTATGACACACACTGACCACCAGGGGTCAGAAGCTCAATGCAGGAGCTGTCCTCTGGTGGTCAGGGTGCTCTCACATGGGAGGAGCTTTACTCAGCTACAAGCCAGGCTGACAGCTGCCAGTACAGCGGTGGTGGTGGGAGCCTCTCTTGCCTCCTCCGGAGCGCTAAGGATGTCTAACTGTAGTTTAGGCCTGCTCCCCGCTGGCAAGTGGACATCCTCCAAGGGCTGCCGGGCTGCCAGAGGGATGTCTGACTGCCAGCTTACGCCCAATCCCCCCAGGGAGGAGGCCTAAGCCAGCAAGTGGTCATCCCCCGAGGGATCCCAGACTGCGAGAGGGCACAGGCCGGGCTGAGGGACCCTCCCCCCAAGTGCACAAATTTTTGTGTACTGGGCCTTTAGTATTATATAAAGGGAAGTCCATTCAGGTATTCTTTGGAGTCTTGCTTCTTTTGTTCAAAAAATTATTTGTTTTACATAGTTTGTCATATGCATCTGTAATTTATTTTCACTATTTTATATTATTGCTATTGTTAGAAGATGCCATCATTTATTTATCAATTTGTTGTTGGTGAACATTGCTTTTGTTCCCAGGTTTTTACTTTTATGAATGATGCTGACATGAATCTTATTTGTATATTCTGGTGCACATGTACACAAACTACCTTGTGTGACAGACCCAGAAATAAAATTGCTGGGTCATGGAGTATATATGTTGTCAGCCTTTCTAGATAATTTAAACAGCTTTTCAAACTTTATATGAAAAATATGTTTATTAGCAGTAATTGAGAATTCTCCACATGCTCATAAAAATGTTGTAAAAGACTTTTTACATTTGGTGATCTAGTGACTGTATAGCTACTTATTATTTGCCTCATTACAAATAAGTTTCAGCATCTTTTCACATATTTATTTACTCTTTGCATTTTCTATTTCTCAAAGTCATTTTTCTCTTCTATTAGGTTGCCCTTTTTTATTCTTTCTGATTTTTAGAGCAATCTGCCCAAATCTGTAAGTCCTTTCTCTCTATGAAGACCACACACCATTTTTATTTTCCAGTGTCTTCCTTTGTATCTCATTAGCTCAGCACTATTATGGGTTCAAACTCAATACACTGAATGCCGATTCCTAGAAATATCTCTCATTGTCCTCTCACTGTGTCTCTTTCTTTCTGTCTCACTCCTTCTCTCCCTTTTCTTCCTTTCTCCCTCTTTCCTTTTTGCTTCACAATTTTTCTCTTTTGCTTCCAACAAAACATTTTGTCTTGGTCTTTCTTGTAGAGAAGTTCTGGGCCACCCATCAGGGGAACACTTTTCCTTGCCTGTCTTAAATTAATTGATAGGCCTTTAAAAAAAATTCTTTATTGTTTAAAGTGTTACGTATGTCTCCTTTTTCCTCCATTGACCTCTTCCCAGCTACCCCCACACCCCAGCACATGCCCTTACCCCCGCACCTGTCTGTGTCCATTGGTTATGCTCATATGTATGCAGACAAGTCCTTTGATTGATCTCTTACCCTCTTACCCCCTGCCTTTCCTCATAGGTTGGACAATCTGTTTGATGCTTCTATGACTCAGGTTCTATTTTGGTTCATCAGTTTATGTTGTTCATTATATTCCACAAATGAGTGAGATCATGTGATATTTATCTTTCTCTGACTGGCTTTCTTTGCTTAGCATAATGCTATCCAGTTCCATCCATGCTGTTGCAAATGGTAAGAATTCCTTCTTTTTTACAGCAGTGTAGTATTACATTGGGTAGATGTACTACAATTTTCTAATCCACTCATGTGTTGAGGGGCACTAAGGCTGTTTCCAAATCTTAGCTATGGTGAATTGTGCTGCTATGAACATAGGGGTGCATATATCCTTTCTGATTGGTGTTTTTGTTTTCTTGGGATATATGCCTAGAAGTGGGATCACTGGGTCAAATAGAAGTTCCTTTTTTAATTTTTTGAGGAAACACCATACTGTTTTCCACCAGTCTGCATTCCCATCCCCAATGGAAGAGGGTTCCTTTTTCTACACATCCTCTTCAGCACTGATTGTTTATTGATTTGTTGATGATAGCCATTCTCACAGGTGTGAGATGATACCTCATTGTTGTTTTGATTTGCATCTCTCAGATGATTAGTGACTTTGAGCATGTTTTCATATGTCTCTTGGGATAGGCCTTTTATAAGGAATAAAGGTTTGAGAACCCTAAGAGAGAGAGATGTCATTTGAGGAGTTTCAACACCAGGCTTTTAATTCTACTCAAGGTAACATCAGGCAATAATTAGTCATGTTTCATTAGTGAGGAATTCCCAACACTCAAAATATTTTAACACACTTAGTATAGTCAATAATATTATAATACCTATGTATAGTGCCAGGTGGGTCCTTAAAATATCAGTGAGAACATTTGCTAAGTACCGGTATATGATTATCTAATGCCTATGCTGTAGAACTAACACAAAATAATGTTGAAAGTAAACTGTAAATGGAAAAACAACAACACCTGAATTTTGACTCCCACCCAACTCATAAAACAGAAAAAATTAAAATAAGGATTCCTGCCCAGTCAAGATCCCGGAGCAAGACCAGGTTACTACTCTCTCCCCTAGTTGATAACTTCTTTTGTGGAGTTTACCTCTCATAACTGAGAGTGATGCTCTCCAATTACACCTACCTTTTCTCACTGGGAGAACTGGGAGTTCAGATTACTCGGTATTACTAATCAAACAATCAACTACTGTCACATTGTGTAACAATGCAGGCCATCTCAGGCTTTATACCCTCTCTATGGAGAATTCACTGGATGTGGAAATAGAATGCCCTGAGCTAAGCTGATACCTACACATTCCATTATGTCCATATCTAGTCCCCATTGAAGGAAACATTGGCCTATAGCAGATGTTAAAAATGTTGCACTGTTGGACAAGATATGTCACACACAGGTTCTTGGGCATATCCCTCACATGTTCCCCACCTGTAAGTATAAGCCTTTGAAAGAGGAGTAAGAACATTTCACAGGTCTTTTCTGCTTTCACTTCCATTATATCCCCACCTGAAGCAGTGAGAAATCCCTCCTCATTTCCTTGAAGAAGAGAAAAGAAATGAGAAAAATGCAGGAGTGAAAGGGAAAAAAAATTCAACAAAGCTGATTATCAGTCCAGTTTCTGGAAGGACACACAAGAACCTTTCAGAGGGTAACTAAAGAATGTTTATTAGAGGGACACATACAAGGTCATAAGCAGGTCACAGAAAACTGATTAGAGATTAGGAAGCACCTAGAAGGTAGCAGTAGCAATGGCCAGGTAACTGTAGTCATTCTTATAGCATGAACTAGCAGAAAGTTGAACCAGGATGTGACAAAGACCCATACTTTAGAATGGAGCTAAATGAAAGGGCTGTGACCCACTGAAAGGAACAGAGGCACTGGGATACCATGGTCCACCAAGGAGAAGTGAATGGACCATATTCCTGACCTCTAGTCTCATGCCGGTGCCTCACTCTGGTGGAACTCCACCAAAACCTGAAGGAGAAGGGAGCTCCTCAGTGTCAGAAAGGACTATAAAGGTCAATAGAGGTTATAGTAATTCTGTAATGTGATATATCTTGAGCCATTGATAGTATGGGGAGAATAGGAAACCCAAAGTGTTTCTTGAGAAGGTCCTAAATATGGATAAAGGTTGGATAGACTGTCCTTGCTGAAATGAAAGCAACCTTAGTCCCAGCCAGGCACTCACATTCCCATAGTTTTAACCAATGTAACCTATGGGCAGCCTGGACTATCTGCTGTTATTCTATAACCCTTTCTCCTCTTCCTTTGCAGGTTTCCGTGTGGGCTCCACAGTGAGGTCAGAAACCAAGGGCATCTGGATGTGGTGTGTGGTCCACCCCTTTAATCCCAACCACACTCTCGTCCTTCTGGATACTGAGGGCCTGGGCGATGTGGAAAAGGTAAGGCAAAGAGTCTTCTTTGTTCTTGATACTCCACTTGCATTTTAATTTGCCACCTTAATTTAATTTCTATGATCTATTTTTGTAAACTGCAAATCCACTTAAGAATAATGAGGTTTAATTATGTTTTTTGAAAACTCAATATTTCCTTTATTAGGTATATAACTTCTATTTTTACACTTGGTTGAAAGTTACAAGATAACAAATACTCACTGGGCATCTAAATTCTAGGATTTTGTGTTAAGTACTGCAGATATGCATGATTGAGGAAAAGGCCCAGAGCCTAGTTGGAAGATATGAAATAAGCAGTGTTATCAGTACCAGATACCATGGATACCAAGGAGTGACACACTTAACCAGTATTTTAGATAAGAAAAACATCCTGGAGGAAGCTATAATTATGGGATCAATGCCTCTAGTAGTTAAGGTGACTGAGGTTGATGGTCTTGAAGGTAGGAAACATAAAAATGGGGTTTCGTTAAATAACATATTTAAATAATCTCCAAAAATACCTCAGCTACATGATACAAATTAATTAAGGTTTTATTATAAATCTCTGGGCTTTACAGGTAAATTTCTCCCTGACTTCTATAAATTCATGAGCTTAGACCCACCAGAAGCATTATAAATGCGATAATTTTAGGTATTTTGTCTTCACTGTGCTAGTTGCAGTCAATCTTGTGTCCTTATTTGTATTAGCCAGAGTCTAATTTGAAAGTAGGAGGGGTGGATCTTTGGCTTCCATTACCCAAAAAGGAGTAGGGGCAGGAATTTAGATAGTCTGAATTTTAATATTAATTTTTAATTGAATTTATTGGGGTGGCACTGGTTAACAAATTTATATAGGTTTCAGGTGCATAGTTCTACAGGACATTATCTGTACACTATATTGTTTTTACTACCCAGAGTCAAGTCTCTGACTGTCACCATTTATCCCCCTTATTCCCTCCCCCAACTTCTCCCACCCCTCACCCCTAGCAGTCACCACACTGTTGCCCTATGCATGAAATCTTTCTTTTTTTTCCCCTTTTTCTCAATACCTCTATCTCTAGCTCCCAATCCCACCCCTACCCCCAAAACTTGTCAGCCTATTGTCTATCTATGAGGCTGCCGCTATGTTGCTTGTTAGTTCATTATGTTCATTAGATTTTACATATGAGTGAAATCATATGATACTTTTCTTTTTCTGACTGGCTTATTTCACTGAGCATAATTCAGGTTTAAAGTACTCAATAATCACCTCAATATAAGCCCAGGATGGTCTACTGACTGCTAACAGATTGTAGTTTACTAAACCTTCTTCTTTTTAGCTGATTACCTTTGAAAAGGAGCCAAAACATAACTGTCAACTGATAGAAGCAGAAATACTTGCTGTCCTTACAACTCTAGGATTTTTAGCAGTACCCAATTCTATTGCATAGTCACGCGTGATTTACCCTGAGTGTCTTATGTTTAGCCTCATCATCTATTTCTACCACATACATAACCACTACTTTAATCAAATAAAATAACTTGCAGTATCTTTGTGTGAAGACACCTTCTGACAATTCTGATTGGCTTCTGTAGATCCTTTTACCTACATGGGTCTTTCTCTACACAACTCCACATTCTGTCTGTTCTTTAAAGAAAAGCCTGCTACTTTCAAGTAATGGGATTGTATCCCACCCTATCTAATAATAGACTAACATGATAATTGACCATACCTTTGCTATGCCTCCCATTGGCTAATCAGCAAGATGTGCAAATTAACCACCAACAAAGATGGCAGTTAATTTGAATACATAGGTGCAAAGTGGCGAAGTGGCAGAGCAAAGACTGAAGGCGGCTCCAGCTGGAGTAGCAAAGGCTTGAAGGCGGCTCTGGCCTGGGTTCTGGGTGCCAGAGGAAAACTGGTTCTGGCAGCCAGGGGAAGGGAAGGCCTATTGCACGAATCTTTTCATGCAACAGGCCTCTAGTTCAGACATAATCCCTTCTTGTCCTGAAATCACAGAATAAATGTTCTGGATTTTTCATTCCCCCTTTGTCTTTTATGTTATAACATTGAGTTGCACGCCTGGCAGAGTTGGTCACCTTGGATGCATTTACATGTTGCCATGTATATCTGCACCTCTAGCACATCATCTCTGGAGGTCAGAGATTACCCTATGAAACTTTATCTCCAAAAAACTAAATGTGGTATCTGGCATTTTTTAGATGCACAATGAGAAGTTGGTGAATCAATTGAGTAGCATTTGTGTCACCAATAAACTCATGGTCAAGAGAAACTGTAAATAAATCATTAACCACTTATCATTACATACTTCTATGTTCTTGGGACTGTTTTAAACATTTCTCACACATTTATATTGTAATTTACTCCTTTTAATTGCTAAAGAACTCAGACCTTGAGAGGGGGTCAATGTGAATACTCAAAAATGAGGTTTGAATTTATCACTGTCTTTACAGTATATGCTATTTGCCCTACTGTTCAGTTATAGCAGAGCTGACATAGTGCATGAACAAATGAATGGGTGATAGAAGAGTAGATACCCAATGCCCTGCTATAATACACTTTCTAGGGTGACTCAAAAAATGACTCGTGGCTCTTTGCCCTGGCTGTGCTTCTGAGCAGCATGTTTGTCTACAACAGCATGAGCAGCATCAACCACCAGGCCCTGGAGCAGCTGCAGTATCCTTCCAGGAATCAAACCTCCATGTGTCATGGATTCTATGGGAATGAAATTAAGACAATTTTGTTATTGTTTTTGTTATTTGTTCCTCATTTCATAATGATGTTTGAGGAGGAAGGGACACAGGTGAATAGGAATGTTCACAATAATTGTTTCTGCATGAGATCTGGAAATTTTGGCTTGGAGCACTTCTCAATCCTTAGCTAAGATCCCAGCTATGTGACTGAACTAACAAAGTTAATCAGAACAAAGTCCTCTCCCATCTCTGCTGAAGTAGATGACTCAGCCGAGTTTGTGAGCTTCTTCCCAGACTTTGTTTGGGTTGTACGGGATTTCATGCTGGAGCTGAAGTTAGATGGACGCACCATCACTGAAGATGAGTACATGGAGAATGCCTTGAAGTTGGTTCCAGGTATCAGAGGATGGTCTGGGTGGTAGAGGGTTCATTAGGAGGTGGGATCAATTGAGCCCTTTCATTCAGTACTTCTAAGTCAATCATTATTTATTTATTTTTTTTGCATTGAGGCTTGTGCTAAAGGCAATATGGCTATTACAGGTGGGTGAGGTTTCAGGTGTTATTAATACTAAAAGTACTCAAGTGACCAAAAGTTAAGCTGATGAGGAAATGGAGAATCCAGTGTTGGACCACAGATTTTAGGAAACTTGGCATCATGAAAAGAAAATTGAAGATAACAACCAGTGCTAAGTCTTCCTAACACTCAAATACTTGTGTAATAATTAAGTTTAGTGCTCTTCTGCTTAAATGTCCATCACTATGAGTGACAATTAACACAGGATTACAAATATATCAAATGACTCATTTGTAAAGTATATTTCATGTAGTCTATTTTAATAGTCTACATAGTTACATCCTTTATATATATATAATATGATTTCCCCTAAAGTCCTTTAAATATCATCCCAGTAAGGCTGTCAAATTTTTCATGATCTCATTCTTATAACATTACTCTCTTTATTCTCTAGCTTGTTGTCATGTTAATACAATAAATTCATTACTCAGAGTACATTTAGCAGAGAGGAAAATGGGTGGTACCTCGAAGAATGTCCATTTTTGCTTATTTCATCATTCTAAATCATTTATTGAATAGCTGATATATGCCCAGCATTATTCTTTGTGACTTTGTCACATCCAATGTAATCCAATATAGAGAACAAGTGAGGTCTTCAAGTGGCATTAGGTTAACCTTACTCTTTGATTATATCTTCTAAAAAGTTTTGGAATATATTTATATTGTATGAATTTTTCACTCTGATTTTTAGAAATTGTTCTTTATGATTCTCAGGATTGTCTGTCCTCCACATGGTATTTTTCCTAACAATATCAAAAATTTTCATATATCTACCAAGAAATATTTGTCTTTATTGTAGAGCCCAAATTATATTTCTGACATTAGGACTATAATATCAAATGCATTTCTGACAATTTTGGGGAATAATCTATCATTCAAAAATATCTAATAAATATTTAAGCATTGGACACTGTGGAAGAATCCTAAGTTTCTTCACATGGAATGAAAACTTCCCCTTCTTCCTCAGAAGCACTACTTTTATTCTTGGCTCTGGACAAAAAAAAAAATTAAAAAATCCTATGTTTTAGTGAGATTAGCATTAGATAGATTTGTATTAATGATGCAAAGACCCTTTGAAATGAAAATCATCAATGTTCTTACCTAAAGACTTTCTCACCAATCACTGCTCCTTTTTCTTTTCTACAGGCAACGATCCCAAAATCCAGAAGTCCAACATGCCTAGAGAGAATATCAGGATGTTCTTTCTAAGGCGAAAATGCTTTGTCTTTGACCGGCCTACAACTGACAAAAAATTATTACACCGTATGGATGGGGTTTCAGAAAACCAACTAGAATGCAGTTTCCAGGAGCAATCCAAAAATTTCTGTCAGTATATCTTTGCACATGCAAAAACCAAGACCCTCAGAGAGGGAATCATTGTCACTGGAAATCGTGAGTCTCCTTTGTTACAGCATGTTTCCCTGCAGTTCAATGTGCATAATATACTCAGGGTTTTTTCTTAAATCTTCATTTCAACAAAATTTTTGTTATTTTTAGAATGATGATCTAAAGCTTGAGAACTGTGGGTGGCAACTTCTGGTCCATTCTCTGAATATCTTGTGTCATTCAGGGCTGGGGACTTTGGCAAAGGCATATGTGGATGCCATCAACAGTGGAGCAGTGCCTTGTTTGGAAACTGCAGTGATAACTCTTGCTGAGCGTGAGAATTCAGCAGCCATGAAGAAGGCAGCCGACCACTACAGCGAGCAGATGACCCAGAGAGTGAGCTTCCCCACAGACACTCTGCAGGAGCTGCTGGACCTGCATGCAGCCTGTGAGAAGGAAGCCATTTCAATCTTCATGGAGCACTCCTTCAAGGATGACAAGTGCGAGTTCCAAAAGAAACTTATGGTAAATATGTCTTAGCATATATCCTTCCTAATTCCTGTTCTTCTAGATTGATGCCTAGACATCCACTTTTTGACCCATAGTTAATGTGTATTCCATTGTAAAAGACATTTGGAATCATGTGAGTGATTGGATTCTGTAGTCTACTATTCATCCTTTTTCTGAAACATTAGCTCTTTATTTCTATTAGGGTCAAACAAATTAACATGTGCTTATTAGCAGTTTATGAAAACACTATTTATTATTTCACAATTCTTCAGGTGAGTTCCTAGCACAAGATGTATGGTGCTCTGCTCTGTGTACCAAAATCTGCAAACCAGATTCAGATATTATACTCCTGAAATTAATATAATATCATAAGGAGGCTCATGGGAACTCTTTACCATCTTCAAGGCAGCAATGGTGCATTGTATCCTTGTTTTGTTTCTAATATCTTTGACTACCTCTCTCCTACCAGCTGGAGAAAACTACTCTTAAAAAGCTCATGTGTTTCCCAGCTGGTGTGGTTCAGTGTTTGAGTGTAGAACTATGAACCTAGGGTCACAGTTCAATTCCTGGTCAGGGCACATGCCCTGTTGTGGCTTGATCCCCAGTGTGGGGTGTGTAGCTGACCGATGATTCAGTCTCATCATTGATGTTTCTATCTCTGACCCCCCTCTCTTTTCCTCTCTGAAATCAATAAAATTTGTATTTTTATAAAAAGCTATGTGTTTAAGTATGCACACTTGAACAATCTTTGTCTCTTAAAGTCAGCCAGTGCCATATAAAACTCCAATCACAAGATTAATATTTATCATATTCACAGGCCTAGAGACTTCAGTGTGTGGAAACCAAGGGAAAGAATTCTTGAGGACAACGTAATTCTGCCCAGCTTAAGCACCTTCACCTTGTCTTTTAGTCTGTCATTGACAATCCTATTAGTTACAAAACTCTCACTTCATACAGAAGGAAACCAACAGGATTGTAATTTTTTTAACTATAGCAAAATAATTTCTGTTCCTATATTTTTGCACAATCAAACCCTCATTGAAATAATTCACGAGAAATTCAAAACTCTGTTCAGTGACCACTTACCTCGTTAGTGGACAGTTGACTTACTTTGTATATATGTTTATCCATAGCAACCAAGTTTGCAGAGGAAAGTCTACTTCCAGTTATATTGCACTTCCCATTGTCCATTGTCAATGGATGGATCACGGTTTATCTTATGACTGATAAACCTTGATAATACTGAATTTCATATTTGAAATTTGTCAGCAGTCTAACTTAAAAATTCTCATCAAAGAAAAAACCATTCTTATGACTGTGTAAGGTTACCGATGTTCACTAGACATTGTGGTGATCATTTGGCAATCTATACAAATAGTATAGAATCATTATGTTGTAAACCTGAAACAAGTATAATGTTATATCCCAAATTTTAAAAATATAGGAATCGTGGAGTTCTTGTCTGCCAACCCTATCATTTCACAAATGTTGAGCCTGAACCCATGGGAATTAAGGAACTTTTTCCAGGTCAGACCAAGAGTTGGTCTAACTGGGACTAAAATGAGCTTCCTGATCCTGGTCCAGTTTTCCATGCCCCAGTCTATTCTGATGTCATCAGACAGCTTCTTCCAAGAGGATCACAGTTGGACCTTCCCTTCTTTTCAAATGGCCTCTTTCCTTTGGATTCCTCCACATTTCTGAGCAGGGCACCATCGAGAAAAAGAAGGAAGATTTCTTGCTGCAGAATGAAGAGGCATCTGCCAAATATTGCCAGGCTCAGCTTAACCAGCTTTCAGAGCCACTGATGGAAAATATTTTGAGAGGAACTTTCTCTGTGCCAGGAGGATACAATCTCTACGTAAAAGAAATGGACAAGGTTGAACATTCCTATAACCTGATATCCAAGAAAGGAGTGAAGGTGAGGAATAAAAAGAGGGGATAAGAACAGCAGATGGGTGTCAGAAGGTCTTTGTTGATTCTTTTGAGAAATCTAAGGGCACAGGACCATTTATGAATAAACAGAAAATTGTGATAATATCTGTACATTAGTCAAATACTTTTAAATAAAACAAAAATATGTTTTCCCAAATATCAGATTTACTGTCAGGAATTTAGATGGATGAGAATATGCCTTTTATTTAGGAAACAATGTAATTATTTTGTGCTATGTACAAGAGATACATAATTAAAGAAACAATATTCTCAAGAAGTTTATGACCTTACCTAAGAAAATAAATATAAACAGTCAATTGAATGTGTTGGGATAATGATTATCATATAGGTATACACAAATAGTGATGCTGATAATGATGAAAGTGATTATGGTGATGATAAGATGATGCTGGTGGCTGATATATATATATTTAGCACACAGTTACTAAACCAAGTATATTATTAAGTATATTGTTAAGTTTGAATTATCAACTTAATCTTCAGGATAATATGGTAGGGCAGGTCTGTGTACCTGGCAGCCATTCAAATCTCAGAAAGAAGTTTATCAAAGCTTCCTGGAAAAGGAGGTAGAAACTATAAATTGAAGTATCAATGAATAATATCTGACTGAAGAAAAGGTAAATGAACATCCAGTCAGAAGAAAAAGAACGTGCAGATATTACAAATAATGGAGGAAGAGTGTTTGTAGAATTGCACATTAACCTGGCTGTCTGTAATGGAGGGAGGGGGGTGCCAGGCATCATTAGGACAGAAAACTGGAGATCTAGGAAAGAGGTTGCCAAATAGGGTTTTATTCTAACTAAAAATGTTGGATTTTTTGTCATGGCTCTGAAAGGAAGGAAACCACTGTGGGATCCTAAGAAGGATGAAGAATTTATAGAGTTAAATTGCATTTTTATTGAATAACTAGAGGCCTGATGCATGAAATCCATGCAAGAGTAGACCTTCCTTCCCCAGCTGCCGGCACCGGCTTCCCTCTGGAACCTGGGACTCGGGCTTTCCTCACAACCCTGGCTTTGTCTGAAAGGTTGTCCAGAAGGGCATTGGTTCTAATTAGCATATTATGCTTTTATGATTATAGATGACTTCCCAGCAAGAAGAGTCTTTGCTCTTTCTTGTTTCTTTAGGCAAAGGAGGCACTCCAGAACTTCCTGCAGTCACAGACTCCAACCAAGGAATCCATTTTCCAGGCTGACAAAGCCATCAGTGCTTGCGAGAAGGCTCTAGCAGGTACAGGGAAGGGCTCTCTACACAGAGGAGAGGGGAGGTTCCTGCAGTGCCCTTTAATGCATCTCTCTCTCTCTCTCTCTCTCTCTCTCTTTCTGTTTTCGTCTGTCTTTCTCTCTCCCTCTCTCTCCATTTCCTGTCCTCTCTCTCTAAAATAAATGGAAGCATGTCCTCAGGTGAGCATAAATAAATAACTAAATACATAATGAGGCTCATTGAGACAATCAGTGCCTTATCATCACATTCTGAAATATGTTTTGCTGGTATTTTTGGTAAGAATATACAGAGATTCCTTTCTACCCTTTTAAAGTCACTTCAGTCTCTAACCTTTGAAGAGTACAGCTAGTTATATCTGTTATTTTCTTCTCTCTTGGAAAACATTGTGAAACAGCTGAGCAGGCCAACAAGCAGGCAGTGGAAAAGGAACAGCAGCTGGCAAGACAGATACAAAAAATGGAGGATCAAGAAAAAATCTCCCAGGAAATCTTAGTCCAGGTGAAGATGACAAAGACAGAAATAGAAAGCCAACTGAAAAATCAGGAAAGAATGCTGAAGCAAAATATGGAGGTAAGTCTGGGTGGGGTGTGGGAAAATCCTAAAGGACACCAACCTGGCTCCTCATGAAGGGAAGGACAAATATTTAACTAAAGGCATAAACACTCAAGGAAATCCAAAGGTATATGATTCAGTGAAATATCAAGTTAATGGGATCATTCTAAAGCCCTATGTCTTTGTGTGGTATTAGAGCTTGGAGGATACAAATAACATGCCCCAGGCTACTGGACTGGATTTGTAGTGATTATAGGGCCTCACTATGCCCTCAAGTGAATGAGACATTAGTTCAGAGGATGTTTGTTGCACCCACCAAAAAGACTTGATATAGATCCATCTGTCCTGAAGGTATCAGATTGTACATGATACAAAATATGGAATGAAAGCTCTAAAATTTGCTACATTAGTTTCCAGATAAGCCTGCTTCATTCTATAAAACTAGAGTACAATGAATTCTTTGTCCCAACCTGGAGTTTGATAACCAGTGTTCTCTAGAGTCAGCAGTTGCCATTAGTTCTTATATGTATAGTCATCCTATTTAAGTGGAACTAAGAAATAATCTATATATATGAAAGCTTAAGCAACTGTTGTGAATGAACAATTGAATGACTGGTTGCTATGACACGCACTGACCCACAACCAACTTTCCACAGCTGGCCAACCTCCTGTGGTCTCTCCCCACAGCCAGCTGGTCCTGATCGGCCCCAATCACCAGCCAGGCCAAAGGACCCCACCCATGCACAAATTCATGCACTAGGCCTCTAGTTATAAATAGCATCCTTAGGGCTAGAGCAAATTCCTAGGATAGTTGTCAAGCCTAACCTAGCCCCAACTCATCCCCATCCCAGTTAGATGGTAAGGAAGGTATAAATCAGGGATATTCTCACTTCACTTGTCCACACATTTGGAAATATTGACAAGCTCATCAAAGAGAATGTACGCTAGTAGAGAAATAAAACATGCACTTAGTTCCTGCCATTGTTAAATACAAAACGCTGATAATTGGGGATTTTCCAAAGGGAGCGCTCTCCTTTTTACAGATCCAAGAACTGCCCACTAAAGAATTTAAAGACATGTGTGAGGACTTGGATGGGTTGTTCAGTTGGTTAGAGTGCCATCCTGAAGGCCAAGGTTGCAGGTTTGATCCCCAATCAGGGCACATACAAGAATCAACCAATGGGAGAAACTAAGATGGCGGCAGAGATAAACACCGGGAAGTTGATGCCGCTCACAACAATTGATTAATACCTCAGAAAAACAATACGGACATCATCCAGAACCACAGGAAGCCTGGCTGACTGTAAATTCTACAACTAGAAGGAAAGAAAAGCACACTGAGAGCAATAGAAGCTGCAGCAGAGAAGCGCAGAGGTACAGGGCTCGCGCGCGCGGAAAGGGGCTGGCACCCGAGGACGCGGCGGTCTTTTTGAATCCGGAGGGAGTCACAAGCTCCCGACGGCTCTGAACTCCGGTTCCGGGAAGTCTCTGGGGACCCAGGACTCATGCGGGGAGAAACTGGACTGTCTGGCAGCAGGCGAT